AGTCTTTGGAGGGATTATGATCCTGCCAACATCTGAGTTTTGGCCCAGTAAAATTGATTTGAACTTCTGGTCTCTAGAACTCTGAGAAAATAAATTTATGTTGTTTTAAGATACCAAGTTTATGGTAATTTGTTACAATAGCCATAGGAAACGAATACATTAAATGTTCTCCATTTTTATTTTACTGTGTCATGGTTACTCTTTTTACATATAATAGAGCTCTATCAAAATAAAAAGCAAAAGAGTTATCAAAAATGTTTAAATGGGAATTTAATATAATTTCTTCCATTTAACTCTTTCCCCTCACCCAACTTCCTAGACTTTTTTCCTGAAATGTTCCATAACTATACTGATAATTATTTTGTAAAAATTTTGTTTTTCTAACTTTTTTACTTACCATTGTTATTATTCCATCTTTTTTCCTCTTCTAGAGTTCTTAATTTTGAAACAATTCTTAATTAGCTGAAGTATTTCCTCAATGAGGATTTTCAAGAAGAGTACATGATATTATATTTTCTTCTTTCTTATATATCTAAATCTGTAATTCCGGCTACTCGGAAGGCTGAGGCGGAAGGATCACCAGAGCCCAGCAGGTTGAGGCTGCTGTGGCCGGGAGCGGCCACTGTACTCCAGTCTGGGCGACAAAGTGAGACTCCAACTCGAAAAAAAAAAAAAAATTGTTGTATGCCTTGGCATAGAAATGATATTTACAGAGTTCTTGGATCAAAATTTTTTTTTAAACTTTGAACATGTTTTTATACTGTTTTCTGGCATTTATTTTTGTACAGAAGAGGCATGATAACTTGAAATGCATTTTTTTAGGTAACCTTTATTTTTTTTTTACCCTGCTTAGATGTTTGAAGATGTTTAATGTCAGAAATTAATTCTTTTTTATTGTATCTCAAAGTCCATCTCTTTTTTCAAGGTTGCCAGCTTCCCTGGACACCCTTGTTTGTGACTTTTCTCTTGCGCCAGATTCTGAGCTGTGTCAGTCTGAACTGTCTCACTCAAGAAGGCCACATGCAAAAATTCTCAAGATTGTTATGACCTCTTCACTGTGACAGTCACCACATAGGGCTCTGGCATTGGGTGCGTGCTTTTCAATCCTCCCTGATGCCACCTTCTCAACTGTGTGTATCCACCTTTAATAATTCTAAATTCTATCTTGAGGTATGTCCCATCTATGCCTAGGTGTTCAACGGTTTTAATCAAGAAGGGATTCTGGATTTTATCAAAAGCTTTTTCTGCATCTAATGATATAATCATATGATTCTTGTTTTTACATCTACTGATGTATTTAATTACATTTATGGTCTTGCAGATGTTGAACCAGTGGTTCTGCATCCTGGGGATGAAGCCTGCTTGGTCATGGTGGATGATTTTTGAGATGTGTTGTTGGATTCAATTTGCTAGAATCTTGTTGAGAATTTTTGCATGTATGTTCATCAAAGATACTGGCCTGGAGCTTTCTTTCTTTGCTGAATCTTTACCTGGTTTGGGTATCAATATGATGTTATCTTCATAAAATGATTTGGGGAGAGTTCATTGTGTTGGAAGTCCTAGCTAGAACAATTAGACAGGAGAAGGAAATCAAGGGTATCCAAATAGGAAAAGAGGAAGTTAACTGATCCCTCTTTAGAGATGACATAATCCTATACCTTGAAAACCCAAGAAAAATCTGTCAAAAACCTCCTTGCACTGATGAAGGAGTTTGGCAAAGTCTCGTGGGTATAAAATAAAATGCAAAAGACAATCATATTCCTATACACCAATAATAAATAGACAGAAACACAAATAAAAAGCACAATCCCATTCACATAGCCACACACAAAAATGAAATATGTTGGCATCTTCCTAACCAAAGAAGTGAAAGACCTTTACAACGAAAACTACAAGACACTGCTCAAAGAAATCCAAGAAGACAAAAACAAATGGAAAAAAATATTTCATGCTCATGGATTGGAAGAATTAACATTTTTAGGATGTTCATTCTACCAAAGGCAATCTACAGGTTTAACCCTATACCCATTAAATTACCAACATTATTCTTCCCAGACCTGGAATTGACAATACAGAAATTCATATGGAAAAATAACAGACCATGAATAGCCAAAACAATCTTTAGCAAAAGAAACAAAGTGGGAGGTATCATACTTCCAGACTTCAAACTCTACTATAAAGCAACCATGATCAAAACAGCCTGGTATTAGACAAAAGCAGGCATATGGACCAATGGAATAGGATAGAACTGGAAGCAAAACCTCAATTCCTCAACCAACTCATCTTCGACAAAGTCTCCACCAGCAACCACTTGGGAGAGGAGAACCATTCAGTAAATTGTGCTGGGAAAACTGGCTGACCACATAGAGAAGACTGAATGGGACCCTTATCTATCAAAATATACAAAAATCAACTCTAAATGAATCAAAGACCTAAATGTAAAACCTCAAACTCTATGAACTTTAGAAAATGCAGGAGACAACCTTATGGAAATTGGAACTGGCAACCAATTCCTGATCAAAACCCCAAGTTCCCATGACATAAGAGATAAGATAGACAAATGGGACCTCATCAAACTAACAAGTTTTTGCAAAGCCAAAGAAATCATTGAGAGAGTGGGGAGACAGCCCATAGACTGGGAAAAAAAAAATATTTGCCAACTGCTGTATATTTGACAGAGGTCTAACATCTAGGGTTTATAAGGAACTTAAATGTGCCAAAAAGAAAACAATAACTCTAAATGGATTAAAGACCTAAATGTAAAACCTCAAACTATAAGAATCCTAGAAGAAAATGTTGGAAACACACTTACAGAAATTGGAATAGACAACCAATTCTTGATCAACTCTCCAAAAGCAAATACCATAAAACATAAGATAGATAAGTGGGACCTCATCAAACTGAAAAGCTTTTGCAAAGCCAAAGAACCATTAAGAGAGTGGGGAGATGCCCACAGAATGGGAAAAAATATTTTCCAACTGTATGTCTGACAAAAGCCTAACATCCAGTAACTCAAGCCAAAAGGAAAAAAAAAAAACAACCCTATTAAAAAACCTATTTAAAAATGGGCAAAATATTTGAATAGGCACTTCTCAGTAGAAGACATGAGAACAGTCAAAAGGTACATGAAAAAATGCTCACTAATCATCAAAGAAATGCACATTAAAACCAAAATGAGATATCACCTAACTTCAGTCAGGATGGAGAAGATGCTGGAAAGGATTTGGGGAAAAGGGAACACTTCTACACTGTTGGTGGGAGTGTAAACTAGTACAACCTCCGTGGAAAACAGTGTGATGATTTCTAAAATATCTGAAAATCGACCTTCCATATAACCGAGAACTCTCCCTCCTGGAAATATACCCAGAGGGACGCAAATTACTCTATGAAAAAGATACCTGCACAAATATGTTTATTACAGCATTATTCACAATAGCAAAAACATGGAACCCACCACGCTGCCCATCGAAAGTGACTTGGATAAAGAAAATGTAGTACATTTACATGATGGAATATTATGCAGCCATAAAAAAATTATGAACTTTGCAGCAACCTGGATGGAATTCGAGTCTGTAATACTACTCAGTGACTCATCACAGAAACAAAGATCTGAGTACCACATGTACTCACTCATAAGTGAATCCTGAACTTTTATCATAATACTATAAGAAAGGGATTGGCAGTACTGAGACACTGCCAGGAAAAGGGGGAGCACATTAACATCAATAAGGGTACTCACACTTTACCTATATGATGACCACGTACCTAACCCTGAATTGTATCCCATATTTTAAAAATAAAATAATTAAAAATAAATAAGTAAAATAATTCTAAATTCATGGATAACACTAAGAAATCCCAGTTTTATCTAAGGAAACAATTGTCTGATTTTCTTCTTAAACTTAGCCATCCATTTTCTCTTTCTACATTTATCAATTTATCACCTTTTTTGCAAGATGAAAATTTCTTATTACATCCCTCAGTGTAGACTTTAATCTCTGATCATTCCTCAGAACTGCTTCCCTGTGGCATCTTCTACAACCTTAGGGCTGAGACATATTTGTAGTAATGTTATAGAAATAAAAAATAATAAAGAATGACATTGTGCTGACTGTTATTTGTCTGACCCAGGGAAAGATAAAAAAGATACAAATTTAGAACAAAGGTGATTACCAAGAAGAAAGTCAAATACTTACACTTAAACTCAGTCTTCAAGTTACTCTCCTACGCCCTCTGGACCCGTAGCGACATAGTGGAACTCTTGGTAGAAATGAGACTTCAAGTCACCTGAAAAATGTCCACCTTGATCATTTTTTTCTGAGATATTTTATTTAATTACATTCTAAATGTGCTCCTAATTTCTTTTTCTTTTAAGTATGCAAATAATACTGTACACAAGATAATTAAGGAGTGTGAACACAGTTAATAAAAGAGAGTGGGAAGGCGGAAAAGGAGACCCAGGGCCTGACCTCAGTGAGGTGTATGAAGAAGGGGAGCTCTCTGATGGTGTCAGTGCTGATGATGATAAAGTGACTCAAAACAGCACGTTGGCTCCTTGGAAACGGAATCCTTTTATCATCCCTAAAAACTCACGCTGATAAAAGGCAAATAAACTTTTGTGTCTAATTATTCTGGAATGTCAATTGTGTTAGAGAAAATTAGTTTAGCTTTAAAAGTCAATTACAAACAAATGTACCATGTAAATGTCAAGAAGGACTGATCCTGAAATAAAAAAAGTTTCCAAGAAGCCAAGGGAATTAGTGAACAAGAAAGAGCTGGAAGCGTCCTCACCCATCAGGACTAGCAATCAAATTCCAGTACCAAGAACCTAAATCTGCTTCCTGGCATGAAGAATCAGTTGTTCCCCTCCCTAACCCAACCCTCACCCCAACTTTGGTTCAGTTCTTAGGTTTCTAAGTAGCATAAGACTCTGTTCTTTTTATTACAAGTACTCCCTCACCTCTCTGAAGTCACATGCCTCTTCTCATTTTGGTCTCTAGGTTGTGCTGCTCTATGCTTCCACCTACGTACTGGTGTCCCTCAGCATAGACAGATACCACGCCATTGTCCATCCCATGAAGTTCCTGCAAGGAGGTGAGCTGGCTTGACTAGGTGTTCTTTTGAAAAGAGTCATCCTTGAATGAGGGTAGCATTGTTTTTACTCATATTTTATACTTATTTTTTCCTTTTTTCTTTTCCTCCCCCCCTCTACATTCTCCTCCTCCACTTCCTTCTCCACTTCCTAGATCAAATTGTCCAAAAGGTATAGAAAGAAAGCTTAGGTACCCTGGGAAAGGTCAATGATTTCCATGGGCAGCCAGAGTCAATAAAGAAGTGAGTTGCCAAACTCAGTTTGTGACCACTTACCTTGACAACGATGCATCCACCGTCTTCCTCTAGAGCAGTGTTGACACAAATACCTGTCCAAGGAAATGAACATTCCCATGTCGACTTGCTCATTTTCCAGAAATGAACATCTTGTTCTTCTTTAACCCCAAGACACAAAAATAATTGAAAAAAGGTTTTTAATTGATAATTATACTAGAAACAAGGGAAACCCTCCTTGACCCAGAAATGATGAGAGGTCCCTGAAAAAAGGAGAATCAGAGGAATGGCTAAACCCATGCAGTCCACAATACCCCTGAGAGATGCCACAGGGGTGTGGGAGAAGTCTTAAGAGCACCTTCTGAATAGACTGCATAAATGCCAGGGCGGGATAGGACCAGGAACAATTGACAGAGTGATTCCTGAAGCAAACAAGGAGGTTTCTTCACAGTTTGTCTCTCTTCCCACTATTATCCCTCATCAAGACAGGCAGCCGGCAGAGAGGTCTCTACTTCCAAGGAGGGATTCTTAGTGAAAATGCAGGACTTGAAGAGGCAGAGTCAAGTCTGGGAGACAATAATACCCTAGAGGGATGGTGGGTACCTACTCACAAGACCAGCTGTCCCCTGCTCTATCCACAGGCAGAGACCACTATCCTCTATGCACCCTGAAAACAAATAAGAAGCCAATGTTTAGTGATCTGTACCTCCCTTCCTTGAGAACCTTTGAAACATAAAGACCCTAAAGACCCTAACAAAAACCATGACTACAAAGATGAGGTGCAATCAAATATCATTACATATATAACAAAAGTCAAACCATAGAAAATACATAACATATTTAAAAGATTATGCTACAGAATTTGTACCTAAGGAAGCAAATTTAATAGAGCTAGCAGAATTTTAGGATAAATATAATTAATGTCATCAAAGAGCTACAACATGATGGGGAGATATGGCAATTGTATTTAATGTTGACAGGAATAAGTTGGCACAGTCATCGTGAAGGGCAAGTTAGTAACATCTTCTTAAAATATAAAATGTGCAGCTCTTCAACATGGCTTATTGGTATCTGCTCTAGAGAAACTCATGTGTGCATGTATACTTATTTGCTGTATGTTGTAACATTGCTTAGAATAGCAGGAATTCAATCTAAACTTGGTGTCTCTCAATGGAGGAATGGCTAACTAGCCTATGGAAGAAATTTTGTAGCTCATGTTTAATGATTGCATACTAGATGCCACTTATGATTTTTTTCTTAAGCAAGCAGCAGAAATTATTGAGAGGACAGAAAAGCTCCCAGAGCCAGAGGGGACCCAAGGGGGTTACCTGCTATTTATGATTCTAAGTTCTTTGCATATTTTAACACTTTACTTTTTGTAACAGCTCTGTGAGGTTGTTTGTATTATTTTCTGCATTTTAAAGAGAAGATAATGGGCAACCTCTTCGGGTCCCCTCCCACTGTGGGAACTTTTCTGTCCTCTCAATAAATACTACTAAAAAAAAATTAATAAAGAGAAGATAATTGCTGTTCAGAGATTTAATTTACCGAAGGTCATATAGCTAGTAAGTGCAGAGGCAGAATTTTAACCGACCGTCTGGGTCTAGCTCAAATTCCCTCAAATACTGTATATCCTGCTTTTCAGTGTAGAGGTGGTAGGGCCATGGGCAATAATATACACCAACATGAATATATCCACAATGTAAGTCCAGTGACAAAAACAACATGCACAAAAGTCTATGCAGTATAATAACTTTAAAGTCAGCAACTCAAAACAATGCTAGATGTTGTGGAGAGAGAGACAAAGAGAGAGAGAGAGAGAAGAACAGAAGAAAAGAACATACAACAGACTATTCTAAGAATAATAATTGTCTGCCAGGACACACACTAACTTGAGTTATCTATCTCAAGTTCTCACTTCTGGTGCTGAAAGTCAGACTGGACTAGCGGTAGTGACCATAGGAACTTATATGCAAGGTGGCAATTTTTATATGAAGGACGTATCAATTTGTTGTCTGCAATTAAAATTAATTCATTTCAGTCCTGCAAAATAAGTAATTACTGAAGATGTATAGTACAACATAAGTCATATAGGTAACAATAGTGAATTGTATACTTAAAAATTTGCTAAGAGGGTAGATCATATGTTTAGTGCTCATACCACAAAAGGGAAAAAAAAGCAAAACAAAGGTGAAGGATAAAGCTTTTGGAGGTGATGAGTAAGTTTGTGGCATCGGTTATGGTGATGGTTTCATGACTATATACATATCTCCAAATACAACAAGCTATATATGCTAAATCTATAACCCTAGTAATACCTAGTTTAGAAATTAATTTAGAAATAGAATTTATACCTATTTCTTAGGCTCTTTCTCAGTTATTTGGTTTATCTGTTCTGTGAAGGTGTGAGACCTGCACTGATTTTTCTGGGCACCGTCCAGCCCTAGTTACCATGATAGAGAAGGAGACAGGGAACGGAATGAGACAGGAGAAATGAGAGATATTTTACGATATATGTATGCATAGGTATGATGCACTTATTTATCCATGATTTTATTTATGCCCAGTAGGTTTCAGAAAGGATTGAATGTAGTGACAAAAAGACATCTGCACCTGAGTATTTTAAGATGAAGAAACCAAAATGAAGGGAAAATATGTATAAGAAATTGCATGAGGGGAGTCCCAGGACATTTGTCAGAGGTGGCGGCTTGGGACCCATAGCCAAGAGGGTGACATGATCAGTTACATACTTTACCATATTTATTAGGTAAAAGAATCCATTCTTAGCTCACAGGAAATAAGATCAATTCTGGGAGACACTGCGTAATATTATGAATAGTGTCCCAAATTACTGGAAAAGCAATATTATAGTGTTCTTTTGACGATGTAAAACAACTTATTTTCTTACTACAAAGTTAATAGAGGCTCACCATGGAGCACTTAGAAAATAGTTATCACCAATAACTTGTGGGAAAAATGAAAGCATTTTAAAAAATACATTAGCCAGCTTCCTTCCACTCCCAGTCTCAACTAAAGTCACTGAAGAATGTAAAGCAGAGGGAGACCTGCAACTGGAATGGGAGCCAAGGAGAGAAGTCATCCAAATTCCAGAAATTCAGGGAATTCCCAACACACAAGGGAGGAGATTAAACAACGTGGAAGCCAAGTGATAATTTATATAAATCAGCTCCTAGAAGAGCTACACGGTCTAGAGAGACTGAAAGGATCACTCTTTATAGGGTGTGGGCAGCAGGTGAGAAAGGGGGATGGAGGATTCTAGGAAACCCTACACTGAAGTCACTTGAATGCTCATTGGAATTTAAGGGCAGCTGTGAGGGGCAGGGTTAGGGAGAATAGCAGAGCTCTTGGTGGAAAGTCATAAACATGCAAAAGCCAGAAGGAATTCAAATGTGGCTGAGTAAGTAATGGCATCTTAACTGAGGGGAAGAGAGGAAAATGGGAGGCTATATTTTATGTATTTTTTCATCGCTTTTTCTAAAGTGGCATTTTTATTAGCCAGCAACTCCAGAGAAGCTGACAAATTCAAGGCTCTTCAGGAAAAATAACTATGAGAATAATTAGGAAAATATTAAAACATAATATAAAACTTTGATAATTACAACAATATGATCTGGGTCAGAATGGCATATATAAACCATACAAAATTTCAAATCAGTTAGAAAAGAATGAATTAGTATGTGGTGTTGAAATAACTGTCTAGCCATTTAAAAAGATGTTAGACCACCAGGTTGCAGGTAATACAAAGTAAAGTTCAGTTGACTTGAAAAACTAAACATTTTAAACATACAAGGACTAAAACAAAAAAAATAGGGTAACAGTTTCATAATCATGGTGAAGGACGAGGAATCACACTAAAAACAGAAACAACAAGGGAAAAATGATTTTTACTACATCAAAGATTTTTAACTTGCTTATACCAATGATAAGCATCATAAATTCAAATAACAAAATTACAAATGAAAAATATTTGTATATAACAGGCAAAGTACTAGTATCCTTTATATAAAGAACTCTGGAAGATAAATAAGAATATATCACAGAGCAGAGAACATGAACAAACTATTCAGAAACGAAGAAACACAAATAAATAAAATGTATATAGATGTGCTCATTTTGACTGCTAATTAACAAATTGCAAGATTAAATATTTGGATAAGAATTTTACCAACCAGACAGCAAGATTAAAAGAAAGAATCTCTCAGTGCTAGGAAAGAAGAAGGAAGTGAGAACTTCTGCACACTTCTGGTGAGAGCTGTATATTATAGATGCTTTTGAGGTAAATGTAACATATTAGCCACAAACTTATAGATCTGTTTGTATGAGTTCAACTAAGGAAAAACTAAATCTGGGCAAGAAATATACATAGACAGTACTTATAATTTAAAAAAGGGAAATAACAAATAATAATAGGCTATTTATCAAATTGGACTTTGGCGTGACTATGGGAAAACATGTCATCAGTGCTTTTCAGGTTGCACTTCTCATACTGACCTCCAGAGGGCTCATTTTGCTGGACTGCTCTAGGGCAGGTCGGGAGATGCTGGCTGTCACCCAGCTTCAACCTTCTGCATGATTCTATACTGGGTTCAAGATAAAATTACACTTCAAGAGAGGATCTTGCTACCTGAAAAAAAAATCTGAATGCCACTCGTACAGATGCAGATTTCTTAACAGGAAAATATGTTCATGACTTTTTTTTCCAGAGGAAAAAAATTAGATTATAAGGCAGCATGTATATTATGATCTCATTTTTCAATGTGCAATCAGTCTATACATTATGTATGAATACATTATCAGATTTTAAACTAGATGTTTCTGGATGCTGGATGGTGCCACTATGGGTTTTTCTTCTATTCACCTATTTTTTTTTTGCTAGCATTTCTAAAATTATTGTGTATAACACATGATTTTTTTAAAGCATATGTGTTGCATGGATAGGAGGAGGGCTAAGGTAGAGATGTACAGAATTGGGACAAGAGCAAAAGGAAGAGAGATTCTAACTTTCTGTGAGTGAGAGACACAAGAGACAGTCCACCTAACACAGGAACCTGCATTTCATCTGTTCAGTCCTGGATTCTTCAGCCCTGAGCTGTCACTCTTCATGGCAAATGGGCTCAGCTGACTGGAAGGTCAGTGATCTTCTTGCTGCAGTGGCTGCATAACAGCCTAAGACAGGGGGCTTTCCCAAGATAGCGCAGCACCAGAGTGAGAAAAATAACTCCAGGCTTGTACCCTGCTGGGACTTTGGGGAAACATTTCCAGGAACCATGGTAGACTTTAATTCTGAAGCTTAATTTTATATTATTTTAATCTGAGAGTTCCCATGTCCATCCCTGTCAAAAGTGAATCCACAGTTAACCCACTGGGTAGAAGCTGGGTGCCCAGGAGTCACAGATTATCCTTAAAAATCCAGGCCCTTGGACCCACAGGAGATGACATTCTGGTTCTAACCAGTAAAAGAACAAGATGACACAAGGATAATTAATTACTGATGCCACCAAGGGCCACAGAAACCCATTAGGCTTCACAATATTATCATCAAGAAGAAAACCCCTCTGGCTACATTACTAGCTCATAATGTGTCCTGCTTCTTTCCTCATCTGAACTCTCACTGCTTCCCTGAAATCCCAGTTTTGTTCTCTTCCTTCAGGAACCACCTCCCCTATGCTGTCAACCTCTTCATTGTAGGTTCCCTCCAACTCCTAAGGTGCCTGATTCCCAAAAGTTCTCTCAAGAGGATGCTTGTCAGCCTTCCTCTTAGGTACCTCATGATCTGTTGGTGGTGAAGTTGTTTTCCTACCTTTCTGGACCACTTCCAGACCATTTCTCCTTCATTACTACATATTCATGTCTGCTCTGTTCATTTGGTGCTCATTCTACCATTCTAGACTGCCTTCTACAATGCCTCCCATGTGTCCCTCCCCATTGGTCATGGCTTTCATCTAGTGAAGATGTTGATACTATTGCCAACCTCTCTCTCACCCTCCATACTGTTCTCATCCTTCAATGTCTACATTGACAAACCACCCAACGTTATGATCTCTGAGATTCTTGATCCCCTTAAGTCTAGTGAAAGGGGCTTCACAAGATGCTCACAGAGCTTGACATGGTCCCTGTATTTGGCGGTGCTGTGGACCAATGACTAACTCACACCTGAGAAAGCTGAAGAAAGGTTGACTGGTGCTGTGGTCCTAGCCTAGGGGACTGAAGTAAAACCTGCATCTTCTAGATGCCTGGACTGTGTTAAAAAAGAATCTGCCCCAGACATTTCTGCCAGAGAGTGAGAGGCCTCAGAAGAAATAGGCTGAGGTGATTAGGGAAGAATGGTAGGACATTGCCCAAGTCAAGTAAGCAGCGATTAGACAGACCCCACAGGCGAGTTTTCAGAGAACCCAGAAAAATTCCCAAGGAGATCAACAATCAGCTTTAGACCAGCTAGGCACAGAAAGCAAGAAGCTCTCTGTGTGACAGTACCAGTCAAGTAAGAAGTCTCCTGTATTCTTTCTCCTCCTTGATTCCTGGACCCCAGCTCCAGAGAAGCCCCAAAGTGGCTAGCAACCTGGGGAAGACCAGAAACACCAGACAGGAGTAGAGAGCAGGAGGGTTGGTCCCCTCTCTGGACCCCAGATTTTTACTTGAAGTAGGCCCACTGGGTCACAAAAGATTTAACTTGAAATCACCTTGGGAATTTTTATTGCTATCTAGAATTTTAATTCTGGATTGTTACGTTCATTACTGAATTTATACAATGTTTACCACTAAAAGTAATGTAGGACTTTTAAATCACCTGTGAGTTATCACAGGCATAAAGGAGCTTGCCTGAGTTTCCAAACTGAAGCAGGAGAACCACTCCCCACCACTGGATTGTTGGATGCAGGTAAAAAAGAAAGGAAAAGACCTAATCAAACTGTGATCATAATTCTACCCTAAGATTCTGCTTGGTGAGTGGGACACTAACAACTCTTTTCTAAATACGTCTAATTCTCTATCCAGTTTGTACATCTAGAACCCTAGATATTTTTCTCCCAAATATTTATGATTTTAATGGAATTCCTAGTTTTTCCTAGAGTTTTTCTCACTTCTTATGGTTCCTTGACTATAGCCATTCTGCAATAGATACCACCTGACTCTACATTTCATCCCCACCCAAAGGCACACACCTGCTTTCCAATTTGAAATACAGGGAGTCAGGGAAGCATCCTCTTTCTGGAAGAAGGAGGCCCCAAGAACAATCAGCACAGATAGCAGGGCTAGGTGAAGGGTTAAGATGAAGTGCTTTCAGAAACAAAGAACTGAATACCAAATGTTCTCACTTATAAGTAGGCCCTGATCACTGGTTACAAGATCAGAGAGGTGGGATTGGTAGACACTGAATACTGCTACGGGGGGGGGGCACGGTGGCAACACACTCGATAACTGGTCCACTCTCATGGGGAGACAGCACCAGTGAGAAGCACAAACTTTATCTGCATGCAACTTACTTATATAGTAAATTCTCACTTGTACCCCTCAACTCTAAAATAAAATTTATTTTAAAAGACGAAGTACTTCAACAACAGCTAGACAGAGGCATCACATCATTACAACTTGTACATTTTAGCAATACTTTCATAAATATTAATTGTCTCTCTCCAGTCCCATCATGACCTGTGAGGTGGCCAGAGCAAGTATTTTTCACACCATTTTAAAGAGCAGGAGGAGCTGAGGCTGAGATTGAGTAGTTTAGCCAAGGTCAGATTATTGCAATTTAAAGAGCCCAAATCCAGTGTGTAGAGTCATAGCTCCCAGGCTTCGGGGCTGTGTTCGAATGAGATCTACTCTCTAGACCCAAGTTCAGTGTTCTTTCTCTGCCTTCAAATTCCACCCATATCCCTTCAAAGACCTCTCATTTGGCAAAGAGCTCTCAAAGACTGTCCTAGGGCTTCGCGGTGCTGGATAAAATGAAAGGATGCCAGATGGACTAAAGGCTATAGCCCTGTCTTGTAACCAGAGAGACTACCCACATGTTGATACACATAGATACAATTCAGCATTTTCAAAGTAACTTATCAAATGCATAGGGTTCAAACTGGGTCCCCTAACACTATAGAAATGGATGCCTCAATACCTCAAGTCAGGTGAGGGAAATCAGGGAAGGGGAAGGGAAGTAGAAATGCGGGATCATCAACGTATGCCAGGCAGTTTGCTAGCTTCTGTTCAAGCTTTCTCTAGAACCTACACATGAGCCCTCTCTGCAGGTACTACCATCCTTGTTTACACATGATGAAACCAAGACTCTGGGGACTCTGAGAGGTCCAGGGTGGCTCTTGTACTATGATCCTTTGCTATACTGTACCCCATTGTTCTTCCAAGAGGTGTTTCCACATACCCAGGCATCACTCTCTTTTCTTTGAACAGAAAAGCAAGCCAAGGTCCTCATCATGATTGCTTGGAGCCTGTCTTTCTTGTTCTCCATTCCCACCCTGGTCATATTTGGGAAAAGGACACTCTCCAACGGCGAAGTGCAGTGTTGGGCCCTGTGGCCTGACGACTCCTACTGGACCCCATACATGACCATCGTGGCCTTCCTAGTATACTTCATCCCTCTGACCATCATCAGGTAAGAGACCGGAAGGCCAGATCCACACAGGGCTTTCCTGCATTACCAGTTGCTGCTCTCTCCCCACAGGCTACTCATTGTCCCTAGTGCCCTTAGAGGAATTGGCCAGGCCACAGGATTTTATCTAGAGTTACCATAGGCTAAGTCCAACTTCTCCAAAGTAGAGTAAGGCGGAGAGAACTAGCATTTACTGAGCATGTACAGTGGGGCATGCATTGTGTTAAGTAGTTCACATTTATCCCATTCACCACAGTACAACCCTGTGAAATAACTACTGATGTACCTATTTTATCAAGCTCTGACTCAAGCTCAGAGAAGTTAAGTAACTTATCCGACATCATGAAGGATTGAAATCCAGGTTTGTCTCATTTCATACCCTATTATTTTTCCTATATCATGCAGCCTTTCGAATATAAGGCAAAATACCAGTTTCAGGAATCTCTTTAAATAAAAATAACACTTGAAACAAACGGAACAAAAAACTCAGTGTGTAATAATATACTAGACTGTGTATGCAGTAGGGTCAGGTAATGGCAGGGAACACTTCTTGGAATCCACCACTGAAGGAGGAAAGGATTCAGGTAGGAAATGGGAGAGGCAGGGAGGAAGTAGATTTCATGAAGATCTTAGGTCAGAATGAGCACAACAACCTGGTCAGGATAGGGTCTCACTTGGCCATGTGGCAGGCTCTCACTTGGCCATGTAGCTGGCTCACACTTTGAAACAAAAGCTCTGCATGTGTGAATGGGGTGGAGGACTGCAGAGAAAGACCTGGCTTGCTAAGCGTGTTCTTTGGCCACACTGATCCCACATATTTTGAGTACCTCCCCAAAGCCTGCCATGGTGTGTCATATAACAAATCATAGCTGAAGGAAGATCAGCCTTTGGTGTTCGATAATGTAAACAGCGCTGTGATAAAAATCCTCGTACTTAAAATTGTACACAAATGTCTGATTATTTCCTCATAATTCATTCTATGGGGATTGCTAGATCAAATATGATGCTCATTTTAAGACATTTGATTCATGGTCCCAAACTGCCCTTTTGAAAAGGCATACTCTCACTGACACCATACAAGGACTCTTGTTTTTTTCTTCCCCTAATTCAATGGAAGGTAGTACCATTTCTATATTAAATAGTTGCCAATCTGAGGGGTTAAAAAAAGAGTATATCTGTTTTAATATGTATTTCTTTAATTATTAAACTGGTTGAGTGTTTTTGGGTTTCCTGACATTATAGGGGTCACCTTTTTTTGTTCATGGCTCTTCTTCAGTTTCATAAAATACTAGAGCTGGGAGAAATGTAATTGCTCACCTAGTCCAACTCCTGAATTTTTCACAAGAGTGCATTTAAAGCTAAAACAAGCTGAAGTACCTGCTCCCCATTAGAGATTGAGCTGGACAGGAACAGAGTGACCCCAATAGCCAGACCAGCAACCTTTCTGAGTCTGGATGTTGTCCAGTCATCTCTGCTGAATGGGCAAATTAACACCTACATCTTATTTCAACACATTGCTCTCCTTTCCATTAAGTTGAGCTTGGGAGGAAGCTTGAAGGAGAGAAGAAGGTTATTTAAACAACCAGTCAAAGAAAAGTCATAACAACGTTGCAAGGGGCACACGGCAGCGAAGGAGAGAGGCTAGCAGCAGCAGTCAAAAAGCATTTGGAAGGAAGCAACCTGTGCCCTCACAGGCAACTGCGGCATCGATTTCAGTGGCAGCATCTATCCTGGCTTCACTCCTGATTGATTTCTCATCAGCGCTAGACATCAGCTCCAGTCAAAGCCCCAGCTCAGCAGAGCGGATGTGGAGGCATGTGGACCACTGCTCAGGATGTGCTGGTCTGAAATCTCCCCCATTAATTCAGGCTGCTTTTTCCATGAGGATTTCATCTCAAACTTTTCTACAGGGTAACTTGTGCATTTTTTAAATGTCCTTGAAAAGGCAAAATACAGTGTTTTTGCTGATTCAAGGAAATTATTTCACTCTGCTCTCATCAAGCAAAAGCCTACAGAAGGCCTGCTCCTGACTTCTTGCTTCCAACCAGGGCAGAGCCTCGAAAATTCGGCTATGATCTCCCTCCTTCCTGAGTTTCTCTGAAACATTACCTACCTGACAAGAAGCTGCTCATCCGTCACCTTCTCTCTTCCATGAACAAGGAGCGTGGCACCTTCTGAGAAGGAAAGAACTTTTCTCTGGGGAACATGGCGTCCTCCACCTCCTTCAGTAACTAACAGCTTCCTTCATGAGACAGGGCCAGGCCCAGGTGGAATTTAGTAAGGAACTTGTTTTCCAACTAGTACAGTTGCTACAATTTCATCTCTCTCAGAACTAAGGTTCAACTCTTCCTTTTTTTTATTATTTTCAGAAGTTTTATTCACAACTGACAACAATTTGTAAACAACCCAAATGTCTGTAAACTGGTGAGTGGACAACTGGATATATCCACACAACTGGAATACTACTCAGTAACAAAAAGGAATGAGCTACAGCTGTCTTCTACAAGGAACTGGTTCTAACACCTTCCCCTCCCCCCACACACACCCAAATCTGCAGCCGCTGAAGTCCCTAGCATAAGAAGGAATAATATTTGCATATAACCTCTGGCATACTTTAAAGCATCTCCAGATTACTTAAAATAAATACCATGCACAAAGTTGTTACTTACTTTAAAATTTGTATTTTTATTATTGTGTTTTTTATTTTTTCTAAATATTCTCCTTCTGTGGCTGACTGAATCTGCGTATAGGAAACCCGCAAATATGAAGACTCAACTATACCAGTAGATGCAATAGCATGATCTCAAAAATGTACATTAAGTGAAAGAGCCCAGACACAAAAGTCTACACACTATATAACTTCATTCACGAGACATTCTTGAAGAGGCAAAACTATAGGAACTAAAATCAGACTTCTGAATGCTAGGGGCTGATGGCGAGAGGAGTGAACTGACCGCAAAGGGACAACTCTTTTCTATCTTTCTTTCTTTCTTATATTCTGGCCCCCTGGGATCAGTTCCGTGACTGAGGTTAAACTCTTAATTTCAAGCTTAAAGGAAACAGCTCAAAGAAGGCATTCACTGGCTTTGTTCACCAGGCCTCACTGCTGTTCTTCACCCATGCTACATCTGTGTAGATATCGTTACTAAATCGATAGGCAAAAAAAATCATAACCTTGTTGTTTTATTTTGCATTTCTTTCCTTACAAATGAGGTAAAATATATTTTATATGTTTATTGCCATTTGTGCTTTTTCAATACTTATATTCTTTCCAATTTTTCTTGTTTAAATGGTTTTATTTGCTCTAGTCTCTATCTTTAGAGATATTCTTTATTCAACTTTTCCTTTTTTTATATGTTGCAAATTTTCCCTCATGTGTCATTTTCCTCTCCATGTTGAATGTGGTTTTATTTTATTTTCAGTTAACAGGGGTTGACATAATTTAGAAAAGAAAAAGCACAAATAACTAAATTAGTGGCTTTTCTGCTCAAATGCCACATTGTTTTACTCATTGTGGCTTTATATGCGTTTAATATCTGCTAGTACAGGACCACTTGTCTTTTTCAAAGACTCCCCGGCTACCCCAGGGTGAGCTGCTGCCAACCCCTTGCTTGCGCTCGCAGCTCCAGTTGTGTAACAAATTATCTGTTGCTTCCAGAATACCCATGCTCCTCTCACCCCATGCTCCTGTGTGCATCATTACTCATGCCTGAACACTTCCAAACTCCCCCTGCCTTGCTTCTGGCAAACTGGTTCGCATCCTTCATGTCTCATTTCCAATATCAGCTGCACAGTGGAGCTGTCCTTGCCAACCCTGGGCCAAGTGGCACCTCACAGGGCCTCACTCCCCAACGTCCAACCTCACATTGTCTATATCATCATTAATACTCCATGGTAGTGTAGTTGCCAGTTTGTGTGACTGTATCTCATGAGTAGGGCTCACAAGTGCAAAGCCAGCACATGATAGACACTTGGTAAATGTTGGATTGAATTAACAATGCAGGCCTGACTGATAAACTGCACCAATCACACAACAGATGTGTCATGTCTCTCTCTCTCTCTCTTTCTCTCTCCCCCCGCCCCATGCACACACACACACACACACACACACACACACCTAATACAGAAATTTCTGGCTATAATAGTACCTAGATCGATTTTTGGCATGCAGTACCTCCTCCATATGTGAGAGGAAAGAAAAAAGGGCAAATGAAACAAAGAGAGAAGAAGAAAAGCAGGGAAGGAAGGAAAGAGCGAGAAGAAGGAGTTGTGTCATCTGTGGCAGACTCTCATGAGAGCTCTGCATAAATAAAGATGTAACTGTTCCATCAGCAACTAAATCAGGATCCCAGAACTTGAAACCATAATGACTGACAGCAAAAGCAATACATTGTTTTTCTGGGTCAAAACAACTCCTGTTGTTTCAAAATTCACTTGACATAACTGTCTAATTGTTGCTGGGAGGTTATTACCCCTGGTGTAATTGCTTTACTTTAGCTGTGCTAATTTTCTTGCTCAGTAATTGATTTCCCATTCTCCTATTATTTCGATCTTTGTAAAATAAAGGTAGAGGCAGAAAAGATTCATGGCCAACAATTGCAAAAATAATAATAAGTAGAAAAAATCACATTAGTCATGGAGCACTGATTTGTGATATGTGAGAGAAAAATCCATTTATTTGGCTTGGGAAATAGGGATCACACTGTAAGAAAACCCCATGCTAGGTTGGGACAGCCCCGAGGATGGAGTGCACGGCCTTGGTAGAAGGGCCTGGGCACCTGGTCAGTTTTGTCCATGGGCATGAGGTCCAAAGAGGATGACAAGGATGAAGTCAACCAGTCACTTCAGGAAAGGAAGTAGCATCCTATCCATTGTTAATCAAGAGGTGGAAAGAGGTCTGTCTTTTGAAAAAGGCTTTCTCCCTAAATTGCTAAGCTATGATAGATGTGTGTGGTTGTATTTCCAACATCCATCCTACTTCTACTCTCAGCCACTCATGGCAA